TATTTGAGGACAGCGGTTGAGAAGTGTGTTTACTTACAACTGTTAGAAGTTTATAGCTCTTAGTTGTTAACAGTCAACATATTGACTATATTGTCTTATTTTAATTGAGTGCTGAAAGCTGCACAATTAAGAACACTTTTCTTTCTGGCAGAATCAGCACAACAAGTGTGTCATCGATATGTAGCTCAAAACATTTTTTTCTTCCCAAATCTTCCCAGATTTCAAATTTGTGGGAATTTGTTGTGGAAGCTATGAAGATGAGAGAGCTGCCTGTCTGTTTTATCACCTGAATGTAAAAAAAGATCGGCAAGTGATTTCTGTGCTTCTATGGCTGGCACTCTGAACACACACTCAGAGCACTCCCCTCCACCACCACCATTGTGGGCGATGTGACGGCACCAACAGTGCCCCAGTTCACTATCAGCTATCAGTGGGGAGGAGAACAGATTAATGAAGCCTACTCATAGACGGGGACTATTAGGAAGTCAAGATCAGTAAAGGCCAGGCGAATGTTTGGCCAAGACTCCAGGATTACACCCCTAATCTTTTCCCAGAGAATCCTAGAGAAACACCCTAGGATTTCTAATGACTTTGGAGAGTCACGACCTCGGTTTTAGGTCTCATCCAAAGGGCACTGCATTTTTTAACAGAATAGTGTCTTAACCACTATACTAGTGCATTAGTACCCACACAGACTGCATGGTGAGCACTTCCTACTGGTCCCACTAACACCTCTTCCAGCAGCAACCTTAGCTTTTCCCAGGAGGACTCCCATCCAGGTACTGACCAGGCTCACAACTGTGTAACTGCTGGCTGTAAAGAAAAGAACTGTATGTATGAATGTAATGAAACATAACTGTAGATATTTTTAATAAACTAAAACACTAACAGCTGATTCAAAGAATAAGACAGTGAGCAAAACTAGAATACTAACATGTCAGTGTTTTTCTGCACTTTGAGTATTGTTTTCTTCTACCAACCCTTACTTGATTGTCCTTCATTATTCTCTAACAGCAAGACCACTCTAATTTGGTTTTCCATTTCAGTGTATTTGAATCCTGTTGTTGCATAATTGGAATATAATGCGAGGACTGTTTTACCACAGCAATTTTCAAAGCAAGCAACTTGATTTGATATTTTTTAAGGTTCTCCTCTTTCGTTTCTTTCTACTTTATGCTGCATGCCTTAAAAAATTGGTATTGCGTAAGAAACCCACTATCTCTCTTTTCCAGCCCTCTGTCCTATTGTCCTCAACTTAATAAAGAAGTACCTTAGCACTAAAGTGGCACCCAGGGCTTTAAAAACAGCTTCAGTTATGCCTTTGCCTAAAAAAACAAACACGGCTCATAACAACTTAAACAATTTTCATCCTACAATATATCTAATTTTAGAAAATGCTGTTGCAATACAATTTAACAATCACCTCATTACACATACTATTTCTTCTTCAAATCCTTCCAATCTGGTTTCAGGCAGTTACACAGTATAGACACTATAGTATAGACCGCCCTTCTTAAAGTTACTATCTTATTTTGGTTGCTGATTCTGGATCTCTATCCTAATTCTCCTAAACCTAAGTGCTGCTTTTGACATTGTTAATCATCACATTTTACTCTCCCGTCTTCAGACGGAATTTGGAGCTTCTGAAATTGTTCTTAAATGGTTCACCTCTTATCTAACTGATTGCTTACACTTAGTTTCTTGTGGGGATTATGGTTCATTAAGGCTGGTGTTCTCCAAGGTTCGATACTGGGCCCCCTGCTAGTCAGCATTAACATGTGATGCTCACTTGGTCAGATATTAAAATCACATGGTCTGAATGATCACTTCTATGGTGATGACACTAAAAGCTATGCCCAAACTAAACTTGAAATTGAAGTACTGTAGCTGTCTCTGCACTCTCTGATATATCTCTGATATAAAATCCTGTATAACTGAAAATGTCCTTCATTTAAACTGCGACAAGACTATGGTCATGCTACTCGGCACCTCCTGTCACCAATGCAACCCAATGCAGTAACCCTAACTGTTAGGAAGACACTGTGGTGAATTTAAATCAAAATAAAAGAATTTAGGAGTAATATTTGATCCTATCTTGACTTTTGACTCTCATGTGAAGAAAATTGTAAAAACATCTTCCATCTCAGAAATATCACCAGACTGTGTCCTATGATGATATTTCAGAGAATCACCAACCCTGAATGCATCCAGCCTCAAAACCTTTCTTTTCAGAAAGGCTTTTACAGTACTTAGTTCCTGTCTGTGTACAGTATGTTCGATTTTGTAAAGATCATTTATCTTCTGCACTTCAAACTGCTTGGTTTTTTCATTTGTGCTTATTTTGTAACTCACTGTTCTTGTAAGTGTTTTTTCCTTTTGTTTTTTCTTTCACACCTGCTGCAAAACACTTTGAGATGCTACTTTTAAGGGCAATAATATAAAATAATATTTAGAATAAAAGTCTAACATAACCAAGTCCCACAATTCTAGATGTACAGTATACTGACAAAAAATGTTTAAAAAAATATTTTAATTGGCAGCACTGTATGTTGATATAAAGCAGAAAAATCTGTCTGCTTTATAAAATTGTAGAATTTCTTTGGTGATGGATAATTTTAGTTTTTACAGTTAGGAAGAAAGGCTACAAAGGAGAGAAGCCATTTGCATCACATATGTCATTTGCTTTTTAGTAGCTAATTGGCCAGAAGTCACTACTTCAGAGATGCGTTAAAGAAAGTACCTTATTCCAGTCTCCCTCAGCAAAACTCTTCACAACAAATTAATGAGAAGAATGAATGAAATGGTCTCCCTTTGTCTGTAACCTTCTTAGGTTTTTACTTCACATGAAGCATCATTTCCTTCTGCTTCATTCAAGAAACAGCAGTTTCAAATGCATGTTAAAGTACTTTTATTATGAATGAAAATGTTGAACAACAGGCTACACATTTTCATGTCATTTTCATTTAGAAGAATGTCAAATGTCATCTGTAATCATAGATAAAATGAAAACAAATCAGGAAATTAGAAATGAGGTGTCCAGAAGGCCTCTCATTTCTTTATTTGCGGATCTTCAATTTCAGGTTAGAGTGGTCTAAGTTTAAGTGGCATGAAGCTGTGTGGCTTCTTTTTCAGTGGATGATATGTAGCTCAGTATGACACCAGTGTTAAGCCATGTTTTCACAGCTGTTCTCAACAATAATAATCACTTTCCCAGAAATGCTAAGTGCTATAGAAACTTGTGTATATTGAATTATTGCAATGATTAAACATGAGAGCACTAAAAACAGCAAGCCTGATGACCCAAGTCTGTTTAGTTACTTATTATCTAGCCAATACCGCGGCTAAAGACTCACTGGTCAGGTGCTTTATTTTAATTGTGGAAAAATGGATAAAGCTAGCAGATTTGTCATGGTTTTGATGTACTGTACACCTACGGACTTGTATTTAATGTCGATGCTTCGATTCACAGACTACGAAATGCAAAACGTTCAGTTATCATGCAAAGTATCTTAGTTAAATGCAGTTCTTATACAGTATATTCCATATTCAATATTCTTCTATATTGCATATTTCAGTGATTAAAAAAGGTATGGGTCACCAATGGCATGATCTCCAAGGAAGGTCAATAGCTTACAACACTTCTTTTTCTAGTATGATGTTCTCTGTTAACAGCTAAGTACCTCTCTAGGTCTAAGCACTTTCAAATTGTCATGCCAATGACTCTGATTTATTTCTGTAAATATGAAAATACATAGTATTGCAGGAAATTTGAAAGTGGAACTACAGTACATCAGCATGTGGTGGCTGCAAAGCAACAAGTAGAGATTAATTACCCAGTGAAAAGTAGAAAGAAGAAAGAAGAAACAACTTTTGGCTGTAGAGACTACACTTGAAGAGGACTCTACATCCGAAACATTGCATTTCTCCTTTCTATTCTTCAATGTGGAATTAACTTTTTATTTGTTCCTTTCCAATAAATGATCACCTATAAGGAAAGAGCTGAGAAAAAATATTATAATAATAATTTTCACAAAACCTTCCAGCTCTCTAGGGCCTATGTGGCCGCTGGACGCATGATTATGACTTTATTATAAAGGTTAAAAATATTTCTTAATTAACATTTAATTTAGAGTTAAGACCTAAATTACGACAATTTCAGACTGAATACCTTCTAATCAGTACACTAAACCTCAAAACTATTTGACCATTAAATGGTCATACAGTATATTCAACCACTGCAAAATATCTAGTGTGCACGTTATACTGTAATACTAAAGTTTGGAAACTCCATAGTCCCTTAAACATAACTTTTAAAAAGTCAACAGAATGTATTTCTGCATAAGCTTGTTTTAAAGGATTCTGAGTTAAAAGTTTAGAACGATAATAATTCAAGACCAGGTTTTTTTTATTTAAATCGTTTAGCGCTCTGGTGTATTGTACAGTTATGGTTGTAAGCGACCAGGTTCAAACAAATCAAGGAGCAGCAGCCTCCACCGCAATTAACACGTTAAAACAGCTCGTAAATCACGCGCTACTTTGCTTAAATCGTATTTATTTAGACTACCTGACTTAGTACAACCCATTTTTAAGAATGCTTTCTTTTCATCCAGAGCAGCGAAGAAATCAGTTGATACGTTTATTAAACTATATCAAATAAACGCAAAAATAAAACACTCACTAGTCTTTATATATATATGGAAAATAATTAAGTAATGAAACAACGTTTATCTTCTCGCCTTTTCAGTGTATTTGCATAATATGTACTGTACATACAGTAATACTACCGAGGAAAAAACAGAATTATTTGTTTATACTGTACTATAAAATACTGTATATATAACAAATACAATCATGTGAATTATTAAGTAGAGCTATGCTGTTTGCCGGTTTTAACATTTTTAAAACAATTAACTTATAATATTATAGAATATTAGCAGACCACCCTTTACAGTATCTTGAACACGAATAAGAACACACAGCCCACTAATTTGGATGCCTACCTGTTCAGTGCGGTCAGGCTCATTCGATGCTTTTCAATGAATTGAGTGGTTCCAATGTTCTTTTTATAGGGGAGAAAAAAGTCCTTGTCTCGCCGAGTTTAAACAAACTCCTCCTACACAACACCTCCAAATAAGATTAAGAAGAAAAGATGTTTGTGTAATATTGTTGTTATTGTTTGCTTAAAATAATAATAATAATGATGATGATAATAAATGTAAAGCCGCTATTTTATAGCCAAAAATTAAGCAAAGAAACAAAAAAACTCTTTTACAATTTATGGTTTTATCTGAGTAATCCCCCTTTCTAATCTAATCTAAAAAGCCTTTATTTATAAGGAAGCTGTCTGTGATCATTTCAGAGTAATTTCCACATAAATCCAGTTTTAGTGCAGGAAAGCATCCAACTCAAAGCAGTTAGTCCCAACCTTAGGAAGTTTGCATCCAGCCCTCTAAAGCCATCCAGCGCACTTTCTCTGCGCGCATAAGGCTGTAAGTCCCACCTCCCCGGAATGCTTGCCAGAGTGTTGGAGACAAGACCTGTCGTGGATCTCTGCTGGAACAGCTTGCTCGAATTGAAGCCTCTGACGGCAACTTTATTTTCTGAATATTGACTCTTCATATTGTGTTTAACAAAATCAGTAAACACGAGAACCAAAGACTCGCCTTTTGTGTTAGAAACCTGTCATATTGATTTGATACGATGGTACTGTATACATTTTTACCTCTTAATCGAGCCTCTGCTGCTGGAGTTGTAATGTTTTACACGCTTCATTCAAAACTGGAAATATCCACGCTTTTTGTCTTTATCAGCGTTCCAACATATATAGCAAGGAGAGACTGTTTTGCAAGATATATGTAGGAATGTTTGTTTGTATTAACTGTATAAAGGAATGTATTATAAATATGATAGTTTGACAGTCATACAGTTTGTCTGTGTAATATGTAATATGTTTTGCACAGATGATTTCTTGATGCATCTTCGTTGCTCTCCAGTTCCAACAATGTTCATCCTACACACACAAACCCCCATCAAGATACTATACAAATCTGAGTTCCCAAGCAGAGATGCTTCCTCAGGAGTCAGGAAAGATTGGAACAGGAAGTGTGGAAGGGTAAACGTTATCCTCCTCATCTCTTAACACCATGACAGCCTGCTGAGATTGGATAATTTTCCATTATACATATCTGGCTGGCTAAGGCCATCATCACACTGGTATTGCCCCCGATCCCTATCCTTCGCTTTGCAGTTCTTAACAGAATCATTATGCGAATCTAGTTTGGATTGCTCTTTGTCTGACCCTTCACCTTAGACTAATTTGCCAAGGGTAGCCTTACCAGGAGAGCAAAGCTCCTGACATTATAACTCTAAGCCTCCTTGGAGCACTCAAGCCCCTTCACCACAGTAAGGTCATGATCCCCCATTACTACAGCCGCTGTACCATACTGTTGTGGTGAAGTGGGAGCTGAGTTTTCAGACAAAGCTCTTGGTTTTCTGATCAATCTATGTCTCTTTCTTCACCTATGGTCACACAAGCTATGGGTAGTGACCGAAAGGATGAGATCAAGGGTACAAGCGGTGAAAATGATTTTTCTGTCAGCAGTCTCGGAGACCGTTGGAGCCTCACCAGGTGTAAGTGGTTAGAAAATGAGATGAGGTGAAATATCTTCCTGGCAGAATGCGCCATCACTGGAATTTGGATATCTGCTTTGCCATAGGCACTAGCTCCACGGTCGCTGTGTGTCCAAGTTTGTGTGAGTATTTTTATTATTGTTAAAGCTTGGGTGGATGCTTTTTTAATTTATACACATTTGGGAGAATAACCAAAGGATTGTGCTTATACATTTCTAGGTAAGTATTATGTTTTGTCCCAGAATCCATAGCCAACTTATCTGACTTAGACAGTATGATTCAGTTGATACAGTACATCATTTAAACATTTTCAGTGAGTAGCTGATTACTCATATGTTAGATCAGTGAAAGTATTTGCACAAGACAACCGTTACCACTGAGCAAACACCAATGGACTCAATTCAGAAATTGATAAAGTTGCAATTCAGATAACCTGCTTTACAAAAAATACAAACCTCAGTATCTGCACGTACTGTAATTTGGCTTCTGATAGTAACAGTACAGGTAAGAGAACTTCCAATTAACTTAATGGAGGTGAGGAAGCCATCACCAGCATCAGAGCAAAACTTTAGGCCAGACATTTCAGTAAAAGTGGACATCCGCATTCTGGTGGTTCATTTTAAATAACAGACAAAATGCTTTTACAAAAAAATTAGATGGCCGGGGTTTGTAAAGTTTATAAGTAAAGTTGAGTCAGAGCTTTCCTCAGCCTTCAGAAGGCAATAGGAGTACTAGGTTTAAGACCTTGAGCCAAATGAGAAAAGTGAACATAGCAGGATAGTGAGGTGGGGTTGGACATTTACCCCTGAAGGAGATGATGATCAGGCCAGACCCAAGCCAAGGTGTATCCATCAGAGTAGGGCAGACCATTCACCATTCATTATGGAAATCAGTACAGCATTGATTGAGCTCTGGGAGTACCCTTGGTCTACCCCACTGATCCTGATGAGGATAAAAGAGTCTTGGTACAGTATGTGCAGAGCATTACTACATTAAAAACACTACAGTAAAATATTTGTTCATCTTACAATGTAATTGCCAATATCCTGCATAATATTGCATCAATAAGACATTGAAGGGATATAAAACTATAAAAAAGGCAAAAAAAAAACTAAAGGAAAGCAAAAATTCCAGAACGTTAATCAAGGGAAGTTTTAATGAACCTGTGATGTTTGCACGACACGCCCCTGCAATTATTCCATGTGGAAGTCCTTGCCCCCTTGGAAGCCAGCAATTCATCCATCTTTATGGCCATGGACTACTTCACAAAAGAGCCCAGGGACTTGATGCTGCCTGATTGGAGAACCACCACACTTATGCCAATGCATCTTCTAAGCTGGCAGCTCCAGAAGAACTGCATAAGGACCAGGGCCACGACCAAGGTGTGGAGAGCCAAACCTGAAGCAAACCTGAGCCAGCTGGTTGACAGGAGCATTCGTCATTGTTGACTGGACTTTTATCATACAGATCCACAATCCACTATTTGCTTAGACAGAAACTGACTGTCATTCCTCACTTGTTGTTACATCTTCGCTGCTGTTCAGTTCCGGTTGAGTTCCTACTGTACAGTATTTGTAATTTTCCTGTAGATGATTTGAATTGAATGAACATTTATTTCCACAAAGGGAATTTGTCTTGCACACAAAGAGCTCGCAACACATAATACAATACAGCATCAGTACAATACCATTATACCAACAACAGTTAACAACATTGCTCAGACAGAACTCAATCCAGTATCATAACAAACAATTAACTGGTAAAGTGTCTAAAACAACAACAAGATCCTTTCCCATATCCAAACAATATTTTCATTGTTCAACAATTGAATGTTTTCAGGTATAATGAAGTACTGTAAATGCCCTCTTAGTCTTTATCCAGGGGATTTGGTACCTCATTGTAGAGGGTAGGAGAGTATATTCTAAAAGGAGTGAATGAGAGGGCTCTTTTTTAAGATTTTATGTGCAATTTTAATAATATGAGCATGGTTGGCAGTCTCCCTTGAACTGAACCCTTTAACTTCAGTAAGGCTGGCAGTGATCGAATGGGTACTCTGAGTGTGTGTGGGGAATTATACTAGTTCTCTGTACTCCACTGTAATAAATAGGGCTTTAATCACAATGTGGGCATAGTGACTTGAGCATTATTTATTACTATTATTTCTTGATCAGAAGTTCCAGTTTCTAACCCCTGAGAAGCTACAGGACTTGTAAGTTTTGCATATGAATTTCTTATGAGAGATGGCTAAACAAACTAACTGAAGGCTGAAGGAGTGGATTTTTTCAGTAGTTGTCAGTAGAGAGGAATTCAAACTTTCTTTGAAACACTTACAGTATATACAGCAGGTAAACAGACAAAGGAAGTTCTCTATAACAAATATTATATTTCTTCTTGGTTTAATAAGTTGATATCCAGTGTAATTGTGACATCCAACAATAACTGAAAAAAGGTCAGTTGAAATTGCTATGGGTGAAGTTTGTTGAGATTATTGTAATTCTTCAAAGCCTAGTCACACCTCTCCTTGAAGTGCTCATGTTACATTTGTTTTGTAGAAAGTCTGATGTTTTTTTTTTTATGAAGTTGTTGTTTTAACACTTACAGCTCCACCTTTTTAATAATAGATTGCAGATAATAACCCTTAATTATTTAGTGGTAACCTTAAGTACAATATTCTCATCTTCTTAGTCATTTTAGAAAAAGATGTTAACACTTTCTTGTAAAAAGGTTAGTAAGTCTTGGAATTTCCCATTTCCAGTTATCAGTGTTTTATGAAACACATACTTTTTATTACACTACATTTTATGACATTAGTAATAGTGCACCATTCTTAAATTTGCTACTTATAGATTCATGTATGAAACCATTAAAAATTTTGAAGATGTGTAACTATTCTAAGGATCTATTCCAAGGTTTTTCATTTGGAATATTTTGTGGGGTCACCTGTCACTCAAGAAAATTGTATTTCTGTTCTTGCCACCAGTTGGATACTAAAGAAAAAAAAACAAACACAAACAAAAGTAACATCAGCTTTACTTTATTGAACCAAAGCTGAGTTGAACAATGTCTTTTGTGCAAAGTAATGTATATGTTTCATCGTGATTATAACTTTTTAACTCATTAGCCTCTGATGTTAAGTTCAGGTAGAATTTCCATTGAAAAATAAAACAACATTAAGTTATTAAGAAGATATGAACAAAAATGTAATTAGGTGCTGAAATGTATTTACATCATAAATTGGTTTTTAAAATAGTGCATGGTAAACTCTGCATCTTAATTACCATACATTTTTTACAAAATTTTGGGGATCTGTCCAAGTGGCAATTATAGTAAAGTTGTGGTTCTTTTAATGATGGCATAAATTGTATTTATCAGATACATCTTCAAATTAATGCCTTAGTAAACATAATGTATCTCACTTGATAACTTAATACTTTGTGATCATGGGAGAAGCCTTTGAGTTATTATGCTACCTTACAACTTCCTCTACAACATATGATTTGAGTATATTGTAGGTTATATTTGCATGACTGCAAATTAGAGGATGTGTCTCTAATTTGTCTTTTGAACACAATAACCTGAGACAGTAAAGAATGTCTATACAGTAGGTCTCTTCTTTATTTCAATACAATTGAGATTCATTAAAAGGCTTTCTAGGCAGTATAATTTAAATCAATTAATAATCTCTTTGATTTCCAACTTGTGAACACAATTACACAAATTATCTTTTCCATGAAATACTTTCATTCCTCTCACTGAAAACATTGAGTTTTCTACTTGCCTTATTTTGTATTTGATTCTACTTTTC